ACTATATAAAAGTCGCTTGAGATTTCACCCATAGTAAATCTTGATCGTTCATCTATAAATTTTAAATTAATCTACAACGTTCATATATGACTTTTCAAATTCTATCATTTATCACTTTCTATAAAATATTTATTTATTCAATTATTTACTGCCATTATTTTAAAATATATACTAAACTATCTATATCTATATCTATTTATAAACTTAAAATAAATATCTAACGTTCTTTTTTGACATTCACATTCCCTTGAACGATTTAACTCTGATTAACTTAGCGGTTTGTAAAATAAATAAAAAAATTTAATACTTCACCCTTCGATTTCTTTTTCTGAGCGTTTCTAGTAGTTAAACGGTTCTCTAGCTGAGCGTTTCAGGAGAGTAGCTGAATGGTTTCCTGCCGCTTCGACGTTATTTCTTATTTATTCTTCAGCTTCGCTTGAAAGAGAGTTTTGAAACTGACGGATTCGCCTTCTTCGTCAGCTATGACCACAAATGCATTCAGGTGTATGGTGGCATCCGTAAATTTGTTTGGAACTCTATTTCAGACATTTGGGGATCAAAATGCTTAGCATCTGCAATGTCCAGCGGTTGGAGTACTGGGACACTTTAGAGTCCAAGATACGTCGATGGATTTACATAGCTAGGGCTTCCTTGCGGATCATATCCGCCAGCGAGCACCGCCTTTGCGATTAAATTTTTTATGTCCTGTTGGGAGACGATACTGTAAACGAGCTTCTACTTATTCATGTATTTATGGAATGTACCATTCCTCTCGTCCATATAAACCTTGAAATAGTTCACTGTAGATTTATTCATTCAAATAATATATGTTTTATCTCTCTATTTCTCCCTTCGTTTCCTCTGTTCCGCTCCTCTGTTCGTTCGCTCTCATGGTATCATGAGCCAGGCTATGGGAGATCAAGACTCGACAAACTCCCGCCCACCCACCTCCTCAGCTATCTCCTGCAACCACACCACCGAACTTCACATTCCGGCACCGCTCAAGTTCCTCATCTCCAACATCAAGAACCCTCATTCCACATGCTCTCACCGCCGACAACTACGCCATTCGGCGTATCCAAATCCTCAAACAGTTTTCCACAAATGGTTACGCCGGCCAACTCAACGGGCCTGGTTCTTGCCCCACCAACGACACCTCTCCCGATTCTCAGTGTTGGAATCTTATCGACAACAATCTTATTTCCGCCCTCTTCTCCACAATCTCACCCACTATTCTTCCATACGTCATCTCTTCCACTACCTCCCATGAGGTTTGGCGTATTCTTGAACGCTGCCCAACCCACTTTCCGTTCGCGTGTGATCCAGCTCAAGAACGAGCTACATCACGTTCAAATGCGCGACCTCACTATGCAACAATACCTCACTCACATCAAATCCATCATCGACAACATCTCCGCCTCTGGCTCTCACGTTGATGCGGAAGGCATCATTCTCTACATCCTTAACGGCCTCCCTCCAACCTACAATCCTTTCAAGGTAGTTATCAGCACATCACTGCTTCCTAGGGATCTTGATAATCTCTATTCACTCCTTTGCAACAAATAAATCAACGTGGCTCAAGAAATTGCTCGAGACACCTCCACGGCTTCAGGGGATACCGCCCTCTACACCACTTCCGCCAATCAAACTCGCGGGCGTTCTCAGTGCCGATTCAACAAGAACAAAATCTCCCCATCTGGATCGATTTCGCCCGTTTCGCAAACCAATTTGCCCACGTCTTCTCCTCCCAGTGACGTAAGACCCATATGCTAATTCTATAATAAAATCGAGCATATCGCCCTAAATTGCTGGCATCACAATAATCCTAAGTTTGCGCCCACGAACCCAAGATCTATGACGGCTCTTCTTGCTCAACCGAACTCCTCAACTTCTCAAGACTGGATCATCGACTCCGGCGCGTCGAAATCACCTCACACCAGACATTAACGCTCTTCGCCACCCCAACATCGATCACGGTCAAGAAAGCGTTTCTATTGACAACGGATCTCAATTACCGGTTCTTCATTCAGGTCAAGGTCTCCTTCCTCTATCAGACACTCCTTGTAAGCTTCTCTTGTGCAAACTTCTTCATGTTCCAAATTTAACCCACAATCCTTTATCTGTATCACAATTAACTACTAACAATCATATTTCCATAAGTTTCGACGCTAACGGCTTTGAAATTAAGGATCTCAAAGACCATAATCTGCTTCTTCGTGGGCGTCATCATAATGGTCTCTACCAACTTCACCATTTTACAGATTCTCCCTCCATGGCTCTTCACGCACGCCTTCATCAGGAGCAGCTCTGGCATACACGCCTTGGTCACCCTCATCACAGTCTGCTCAAAGTGCTCACCAAACAAATTCCGGAACTAACACATGTCTCTTCCTCCATTTCTAGCAAATCTTGTAATGTGGAAAAATGTTATAAATTTTTGTTTAATAAAACTACATCTGTCTCGTCTTTTCCTTTTGACCTTATACACTTGGACGTTTGGGGGCCAGCTTCGTTACAATCTTGAGATGGTTTTCGCTATTACATATTTTTTATCGATGACTTTACAAGATTTTTTTGGATGTATCTAATGAAAACTAAAAATGAAACCTTCTCCAAATTCAAATTATTTTGCCAACTTGTCAAAACACAACATCACACTACCCCCGAAATCCTTCCGGTCCGATGGTGGAGGCGAGTTCTCAAGTACTGAATTCACCTCCTTCCTTCACCAACTTGGCATACAACGTCAACTTAGCTGTCCGCACACTCCCGGACAGAATGATCTAGCAGAAAGAAAGCATAGGCATCTGCTCGACCTCACTCGCACTATGTTACATGCCTCCAATTCACCCGCCAACCTTTGGGTCGAAGCGATCTCTACGGCAAACTATCTCATTAACCGCCTTCCCTCCTCTTCAATCTCTCTTCAAACTTCCTTCTATCGTCTACACGGTCATTCACCTACATGCAATCACCTCCGCACTTTCGGATGCCAATGCTTCCCTTGGCTCCAACCTTACGCTGCCAACAAACTCTCTCCGTGGTCTCACGAGTGCGTCTTTATAGGATATTCTCCTATACATAAAGGTTACAAGTGCTTAGATCTCAACTCTAACAGAATCTACATATCCCGCCATGTACTCTTTAATGAATCTCAATTCCCCTATAAAGATAACCATACCATGTCCTCGCAGTCTCAACAATCCGCTCCTACCTCGGTCCCACCTATCCTTCTTGTCCCGAACTCTGTCACATCCACATCCCCGCTGAATCACAACAAATCGCAAACTAGACGTTCACATTCCACTGCTACACCCAAGCCTTCAAGTCCCAGCACTAGCCTCATACCTTCTCAGCCCCATGTGGTACCCTCAGATTGCTCTCATACATCTCTGGTTCGTCCTTCTCACCCAATGCAGACCAGGCTTAAATCAGGTATTACCAAACCCAAACAAATCATCTCTTCTCAGCACTACTCCTTCCCTCCCCACACCCAACTCTTACGCTCAAACCATTAAATATCCTCACTGTCGTCAAGCCATGTCCGAAGAATTTCACGCTCTGCAGAAATAAGGAACATGGACTCTCATACCCGCCCCAACCCACAAACCAATCCTTGGATGCAAATGAACCTTCAAAACAAAACTTCTACCAAACGACAAAGTGGACATATATAAGGCTCGCCTTGTGGCTCAGGGTTACGATCAACAATTTGGTATCAATTACATTGAGACCTTTAGTCTGGTTGTCAAGATGCCCACAATCTGAATTCTCCTCACCATTGCTCCAAACCGGAACTGGCAAATCTTACAACTCGACCTCTCTAACGCATTCCTCTACGGCGACCTATCCGAAGACATCTATATGCGCCAACCAACAGGTTTTGTTGATACTAAGTCACCTTCCTCGGTCTGCAAACTCAACAAATCCCTATACAGTCTCAAACAGGCTGTAAGAAAATGGTTTGAAAAATTAACCGACTTCCTTTAGAATCAAGGCTTCAGGTTCAGTCGTTCCGATCCTTCACTCCTCATTTTCTCTCATAATGATATACAAATATTTCTACTCATTTATGTGGATGATATCATTCTCACAGGAAATAACTCAGCTGCGATTCAGACTCTCCTCTCCAAACTACAATCACAATTTGCTCTAAAACAACTAGGCCAAATCTCACTGTTCCTTAGAATTCAAATCATTAGGCATCCATCCGGTCTGTTCCTCACACAACAGCACTACGCATAAAAATTGCTAAAGGACTATGGACTAGCTGATTGCAAACCGGAGCCTACTCCTACTTCTCACAAGCCTAAATCGTCAGACATGGCCAGCCAGCTCTTCCACGATCCAACACTCTATCGTCGCCTCGCCGGGTCTCTACAATATCTCTCCATCACTTGTCCGGACATCACCTTCGCAACCAACCAAGTTTGTCAACATATGCACCAACCCATGGTACAAGACTTTCAAGCTCTCAAGGGGTTGCTCTGGTACATCAAAGGCACACTGGCATTCGGACTGCCAATTACACCAGGCAACCTGACCCTTCGGACATACACCGATGCCGATTGGGATTCGAACGCCTATGACCGGAAGTCGATCTCCGGCTTCTGCACCTTCTTGGGACCAAATCTCATCTCTTGGTCAGTCAAGAAGCAAGTAACCATCGCCAAATCCTCCACTGAGGCCGAGTACAGATCACTCTAAACAGCCACTTCCGACGTCATTTGGTTGCTGACTTCTGGCCGAATTAGATACACATCAACATTCGCCCACTACCATACACTGCAACAACACCTCGGCTATCGCTCTTGCCAAAAACCCAGTGTTCCACACTCGAACCAAGCATATCGAGATAGACTATCAATTCATATGCCAACATATAGGCTCTGGTGCTATTGCCCTCACGCACATCCCCTCCGCGGATCAAGTCACAGACATCTTTACGAAATCCTTTTCACCAGCTTGCTTTCATGAGCTTCACCACAAATTAACCATTCAAAAGGTGAATGATTAATTTGAGGAGAGCTGTAAATGATCTTCTACATATTCATGTATTTACGGAATGTACCATTCCTCTCGTCTATATAAACCTTGTAATAGTTCACTGTAGATTTATTCATTCAAATAATATACGTTTTATCTCTTTGTTTCTCCTTCGTTTTCTCCGTTTCGCTCCTCTATTCGTTCGCTCTCAGATACCCCCTTTGTTGAATTAGTGACGAGAGCGACTATTCAACTACTATATTTCGTTAAGGCCATCATCATTTGTCACCGCTCTTCAGAGAAGCTCTTTAAGGTCCTTGGCCTCCATAGTGCCCTTACGGATTTGCTTTCTAACATCGCCATCATATTCCAATCCAAAGCTTTGGAATCAATAAACACACAGGTTGTAGAGATCATTGCCAGGCTTGCCAAAGCTGCTCGAGAAATCTTTTCGGAGTTTGAGAGTGCTATTATCAGAGAACCCACAAAATTCTTGTTCGTGGAGGTACTATTCACGTGCTTACTGTTAGAATATAACAATAACTATATTCAAGAAAGGACAGTTAATCTAAGCCGTAGATCAAAATAGATATGGACTGTAAAATGTAAATACTAGATCTTTAAATATATGTAATAACTCGATTAAAGGGGGAAAATTCTTATTTTTCGGTTTTACCTGAGATGGTTTACGACTGGAAGTAGCTTTCTACATGGTATCAGAGCTAAGTCCTCTTCCTTCTCTCGATTTTTTTCTTCTCTAAGTTTCTGGATCGTATGGCTCTCGTTTTTTTTTCTTTCTCTTGCTGAGCTTTCATACCATGGAGGATTCTTCAACCTCTCTCTCTGCCCTAGAGGCCATTTTACCCTATCCGCTTATTCCCATCCCTCCTCAACTCAAATTCTTGATGAATAACATCAAAATTCTTGTGTCAAATCCATTAACCTCTAAAAACTATCCTCTATGGCGATCTCAAGTTGAAAATATTTTTTCCGCACAAACTGACTGGTTCTTGGACACCGGCGCTTATACTCATCTTACCTCTAATCCAACACAACTTCGAACGACAGACACTTATACCGGCAATTCCCAAGTTACTCTCGGCAATGGTCATCAACTTTCGATCCAGTACACAGGTAAAGGAATCCTGCCTACTCCGTCAGGTAACCTCCAGTTAAATAATCTTCATCAAGTTCTGGATCTTGCTTTCAATTTACTATCTATTTCTCAATTAACGCAAGACAACTCGTGCACTGTAACATTTTCTTCTCATGGCTATACTATTAAGGATTTGAAGACTAACCGGGTACTGCTACAGGGACCTTGCCATAATGGTTTATATTCGGTTCGGGCGTCAGTTCCGGCAACAAAACTGGCGCTGCTTTCTATTCAAGCCATACCGGATCTCTGCCACAGTCGGTTGGGCCATCCAGATCCGAATAAAATACGATCCATTGCTAGAAATAATCCAAATATACATACTACTTTTTCTATTAAACATTGTCATACGTGTAGTCTTGCTAAAAGCTGTCGTTTATCATTTTCAAGTTTTAGTTCTCGCACTAATGCACCTTTTGACATTGTTCATTCTGATGTTTGGGGTCCGTCCCCTACTAAATCCTTCATGGTTTTTGTTACTATGTTTCTTTTATCGATGATTACTCTCGTTATTGCTGGTTTTATCCTATTTTACAAAAATCTGATGTGTTTTCTAAATTTGTTGAATTCTACAACATGATCAACTGTCAATTTGATAAAAAAATCAAAATCCTCCGCACTGACGGTGGCGGAGAATATTTAAATCAACATTTTCAACAATTTTGCAGAAAATTTGGATTACTACATCAATATCTTGCCCCTACACTCAAGCTCAAAATGGTCTCGCTGAAAGAAAACATAGACATATAATGGAAACTGTTCGGAGTCTCTTACTTCAATCTTCCACACCTCACACCATCTGGGTTCATGCTCTTCTCACTGCCGTGCATCTAATCAATATCCTTCTCTCTCGTGCACTGCACAATATCACTCCTCATGAGATCTTGTTTCAAACTAAGCCTACCTACGCACATCTCAAAACCTTCGTGTGTCTTTGCTACCCATGGCTCCGACCTTATTTTAAATCCAAACTCGGACCATTATCCAAACTATGTGTCTTCATAGGGTACGCATCTTCCCAAAAAGGATATCACTGTCTTGATCCTTCGACTAACAAAATTTACACATCCCGTCATGTGGTGTTCAATGAACAAACATTTCCTTATTCCCAGATGCCAAAATTGTTTGCATCTGCCAACAAATCTCAAAGTTTATCTCCTCTGCTCTTGGTTCCAGCATCTATTCTTCCTACTCATTCCATCAGTAAAAGTATATCTCATACACCTCACGTTGCATCAATCCAACAACACACTTCACCTCCTTTAACTTCCACTCAGCAAACCAACATCACTGCTTCCAGTGAAAATAATAATGCTGGGGTGCAATCCAGTACTACTCCACCTACTCACAGTCATCACATGGAAACAAGATCTCGCACAGGCAATCTTAAACCCAAAGCTGTGTTCAATCTCACGCATCAGCTTAATCCTCCTGACCCAACTTCTTACACTCAAGCTTCCAAATATTCACACTGGCGTCACGCTATGTCTCTTGAATTTCAAGCACTGTAGTCCCAAGGCACTTGGGATTTGGTTCCGTCCTCGCCTGCTCTAAATATCCTCGGTTGTAAATGGATGTTTCGCACAAAGTATAATTCTGATGGCTCTATTGCGAGGTATAAGGCTCGACTTGTTGCACTTGGCTGCAATCAAGAAATTGGGCTTGACTATCACGAAACGTTTAGTCCGGTTGCCAAAATACCCACATTCCATATCCTCATTACTGTTGCATTGCATAATTCCTGGTCCATTCATCAGTTGGATGTTTCTAATGCGTTCCTACACGGGTCTTTAAATGAAATCATTTATATGAAACAACCACCGGGGTTTCAAGACAACGCACATTCGACACACATTTGCAAACTAAACAAGGCCATTTATGGTCTAAAACAATCGCCAAGACAATGGTTCTCTACGTTAACAGGTTATTTAAGTTCTCTTGGATTTTGCACAAGTTCTTATGATCCATCCTTGTTTCTTTATTGCAAAGACCATGTCCGTTTATACTTCTTGATATATGTCGATGAATTCATAATGACAGGAAATGGTAACACTGCTCTGCAAGAACTTATTCGCAAGCTTCATAGTCGGTTTAAAATGCGAAAATTGGGAAATCTTTCTCAATTTTTAGGCATAACGACAGTCACAACCGAAGCAGGTCTCATTCTTCATCAGCAAAGATTTGCTCATATAATCCTTGAAAGGGCGGGCATGCTCAACTGCAAACCGGTATCTACACCTATTTGCACTAAAGATCCGACTCTTTCTACTGAGTCAGCTATTTTTTCTAATCCTTTATTATATCATCAATTAGTGGGATCTCTCCAATATTTGACACTTACTCGCCCTGACATAGCATATGCAGTTAATAGAGCATGTCAATTTATGCATCAACCAACTAATTACCACTTTCACTTGCTTAAACGCATACTTCGTTTTATCAAAGGTTCTCTTAATACTGGTTTACCTCTTGCTCGACAGTCTATTGCTCTAACATCTTATGAAGATTCTGATTGGGCGGGGGATCGCCAGGACCGAAAATCAACAACAGGCTATTGCACTTTCTTGGGAAATTCCATTGTCTCTTGGAGTGTCAAGAAACAAACAACCGTAGCGAGGTCTTCCACCGAGGCAGAATATCGAGCACTCGCTTCCGCCGCTACCGAAGTTATCTGGACTCGACAACTTTTGCAAGAACTCGGTCACCCGCAACAATCACCTACCACATTATTCTGTGACAACGTATCTGCTATTGCTTTGGCCAACAATCCGGTCTTTCACGCGCGCACCAAACACATCGAGGTTGACTGTCATTTCATTCGGGAGTGCATCAAAAACAATACCATACAAGTGCATCACATATCAAGCAAGGACCCCAGATTGCAGATTTATTTATCAAAGCTCTACCTACGGCCAGATTTCGTCTCCTATCCAACAAACTGACATTAAGTACTGAATCATCAGTTTGCAAGAGGGTGTTAGAATATAACGATAACTGTATTCAAGAAAGGACAGTTAATCTAAGCCGTAGATGAAAATAGATTTGGACCGTAGAATGTAAATACTAGATCTTTAAATATATGTAATAGCTCGATTAAATGGGGATGAATAAAATTCTTATTTTCCGGTTTTACCTGAGATGGCTTACGACTGGAAGTAGCTTTCTACACTTACAAGGTATGTCATGAACTACAGTCTTATGTCGAATTACGAGCAGACTTTGATTTAGTTGATCAACTCAAAGCCACCAACAGCTACTCTGCTGCTCGACAATAACTCCAATGGAATTTTGCCTGATATGGAATTGCCATAGCCAGTAAACCAATGTCCTATTACTTCTCATTTAATCAGGATAATATATACACTCCAACTCAATATTGAGAATAAAACACAGGTATACAAGGATGCTTTCCTTTCCCATATTTTGGCAATTGGCAACTAGCTATTATTGAACAACATGGATGAGAGTTCTGTATTGCAGGAGGGATGAGGGATCACATGTAGGAGGAAGCTTCTCATCTATTGTCTCAAAATCTCATCTCAGAGAAAGATTCAAAGCTTTCAATGTTGCATTTGAGAAAGTTCACATAACACAATCAATATGGGTCTGCGCCGGATTCTCAACTAATGGAGGAACTAAGAATTTCAATATAAAAAAAATTGCAACCAGCTTACAGATTCTTTTTGGGACGATTCAGACATCATATAGAGAACGGGAGACACCCAGGGATGTATATTAAGTACTCAATTGATGATCTTGAGATATCTTTGGTTGATCTTTCTGAAGGGTGCTCACATCCTCTGCTTGGCAAGAAAAAGTCCTATTGAATGTTTTTCAGTATAAGGAGATTTGTAGAAACTATTCTTTTAATCTTTTTGAGAAGTTTTCAAGTGATGGGGTTTTACGAAGGTGAAGAATACATGTTGGTTGAAAATTCTTAATCAAAAGCATTTTGACTTGGAGACGACTGAATCATTTTTTGAAGTTTCTATTTCAGTACTAGAGCCCCTGTAAAGTTTCTTCTATAAGTTTATATGTTAAATACTCTCTCTCTCTATATATATATATATTCATTGGTTGCAATTTCCTATATTTCTCATAAATTTTCAATTTTGTATAACTAATAGTAAAGAAATTAATTTATTAATGAACATCTGAATTTGTTTTGGGGGATTATTTGAACATCTATGTCTTCTTCAAAATTGATCGATCCTAACTATTTCGATTGATTTAACAGTTTAATTCAAATGACTAATAGCTGAGTGTGGTTATATTTTGCCCAGCTGCCAGAACAAAGCTTAAGCACCTTCTAGCCCGGTGGATAGTAGGCTTGTTTGCCGCATTATACTTCACAGGTAGTCCAAAATTAATGAATTTTTTATTTTTCTCAACTTATTTAGTTAAGGTGTTTATTTCAACTTCTCCTTATATTCTCTTAAAAATCAAGTTATCTTTCTTCGTTGTATTTAATTAATGTTATTCGTATATGAGAAAATACTATTGCAGCTGTAATTTGTGTAAGAATTAGTATTTTCGATTGATCATCAAAAAGCAAAGAAGAAGGCAATTACAAATCATAAACATCAATCAATCTGTATGAGCCCAAAGTTTGCTGGTTTAATTTTTAGACATGTAATTCTGTGCAAAAAGATTGTTTCATAATTTCTTTAACTCAATTGGATTTAATATTTTAAAATAATGTTTGATTGTTGAAACATACATATTAATATATTTTGATAGAGCTCAATAAAATAACAATTTATGCTTAAACTCTCTCATAAGATTGTTTGTAATATTTTTAACATTAAAGTCTTGATTTTATTTTTAATTATATTATATTTAATATTTATATTTTTACATATTACTTCAATAATAATATAAGCCTAAACCCTAAATTTTAAATATTTATATTAAAATTTTAGAAATGTGATAGATATATTGTTATTTTTATCAATAGCGTGCTATTATGATCAGACATTAAATTACATATCTTCTAAATATATTAAGAAAAAAAAATGTCATGATAATTTGACTATTTTTTATTATAACT